GTCACTGCCTCCAGAACGTTTTGGTGGTATCATCCCTTTGCAAATGGGGAAAAGATACAAATTCAATAATTTAATGACTTCTTTAATTAATTGTAATATCTCCTCTGATGATTAGATCCCAGCTGTGAATTCCAGTGGTATATTCATAGAGGTACATGGATACAAACTTAGCTGTTGCATACAAACCATCTCTGAACCAGCTGATGTCACGTTGGTGGTCAAGTAAATCAGAAGAGAAGAAACAGGAGAGGGTGAAAGGCTCTTTTTCTCTTGAAAATAAGGGTTTCAGTGCAAAAGCAAAATCTGCCTCTCTGGCCATAAGGGATCCTATGGAATAAGAGTAAAAGTCAGCATGATAAGGAGACTTCCAGAACCTTCCACCCTGGAGTATTGTTACTGCCATATACTGAGAGAGGTACCTGAGCCTTGAACTTTGCACATGCAGCTAATAGGAAAAGCTCTGACTCAGGAAAAAAAAGAATCAAATTCCTTCAGGATATCAAAATAATAAGGACATCAATTATTTACTCACTTTTGTATATTTCTGAATCAAACCCTGACTCCTTCCCATAATATTCTGTAAGACAAGAAGAAAACACATTAAGCAAACCTCATGCCAGTGTTTATCTTCCCCTCCAAACCATCCAGTGATGCTCAGCAAACTGTGGTTTTCCCTCTAACCAGCCCTTGATGTGAACCTTCACCATGGGGGAAAACTTTAATGAATTTGACAGCTGATGCTTTCCATAAACAATTGGGGATGAATGTGCAGAGGAAATTGTTCTCATGACTGTAGCAGGGTAAGCAGTACTGCTTTAAATGCTCACGTGCACAGTTATTCATAACTAAGGAGGATTCACTCCCGTTGGTTTCTGTCTCTTTGAGCTGCACTAGGCAAGTGAAGAGCAAATAAGATACCAATTTGAATTTAGAGCAAACTCCTGGCTTTACACAGCATTCCCAGAGGATGATGTGGGATTCTTGTACACTACCAGTGACTGGGACCTCAAGATTTGATCAAAGAAAGAACAATCCTGAGACACTGAGGTGCATCCTGGAGCCGAGGGAAGTGTGTTTCCTGCAGAATCACTTGTTTTAAGAGCTGTGAGTTCTCTCTGGAGGCATCACAGGTGATGTTGTGCAGCTCCACCTGCCCTGGGCTGCTCCACAGCACAATGGGAAATCACTTGGAGCTGAAATCCAAGAACTGATGCACTTAAAACACAGGATGAAACTGAGTCTTTCCTTTCTTAAGCCGTAAGAAATGCCCAGAAAATGTTGCCTGTTCTTTCAGTGATTGAAGTTTGGCAGTAGCAGAGCTCACTCGTAAGCAAATATGAGGACTGAGTGTTAGCAGCTGAAGAGGAAAGAAATATAAAGCCCAGGAGGTAAAGCACAGCCTCATTCCATGTCCTGTGAGACCCTCAGTGATGTCCCTAGGGCAGGGGTCCCAGAGACCCTCCCTGGCACTGAGGCCTCTCCAGACAGGAGGGGCCAGGGGGAGGAGGAATGTTTCCAGTGAAGGCAGGATTAAATCCTTGGGGTAGCCTCTATTTTCAGCCTGTTAAATGCAAATAGCCAAAGGAAGACTCATGTTACTGGGACGGAGTCAGAGTCCAGGCAGAAGGAGCAGCATGAGCCCCTCACCACAGCCACAGGGGACAATGCTGTGAGTGGTTTGAAACGCTGATTAGCTCTGATGAGAGATAGGTTAATCAGGCACTTGGAGGTGAGGAGAGTCATCCCATCCAGGGCTTTCTGTGCTAGACCACAGCCCTGACTCTGTCATCATGCCTGCTCTGAGCCTAAGGATTCTGATGGGAATGGAGAGTGTGATTATTGGCATGGAATTTCTCTCAGCAGCTGCTGCTGCTCTGTGGCAGAGGCCTGAGCTGTGGACACACTGGGAGAACTTTCATAGAAGAGAAGCACTGCACACCTGGCAACGTTTTCTGCATTTCTGCACTAATAAGGGGATTTTAGAAATCTGGGAATGCTGGAAATGAAGGTTTTCTGGATTATTGTGCACATCCCTTTAGAAGTGGTAAATGCTGCACATTTCCAGACAGGTTGAATCTCAGCACTGTTTAATTAAAGGATCTGAAAGATAATATAATACACTTCTGTTGCCATTCTGGATCACATTCTTCTATAGGGAGATGTAGCCCAAATGGGATTCAGATGGCCATGCAAAGAATAAGTATGATAACATAACCCATGACAGAGCCAGGAATATATTTAAAGCACTAACAATAAATGTACTGTCCAAGCCAAAGAAAACCCTTCTGTCTGAGGAAACACTTCAAACAGGCTTTGCAATTCAATCAGTGGGAGAAAGATGTCCAAACCATTCATCTGCTGAATTCTTCCCTGGATTCTGTCAGTGCCACTGAAGTGCTTCGTTGTCTACAGTTCTGTAGGTATTTTCTGTTCAGGATTTTTTTGGGCTCAAAATTGCTTGCAGAACATCCAGTCCCAACCCCCTGCCCTGGGCAGAGGCACCTCCTCACTAGACCAGGTTGCTCAAGGCTCATCCAGCCTGGCCTTGAACACCACCAGGGTTGAGGCAGCCACCACATCCCTGGGCAACTTGTGCCAGTGTCTCACCATCCTCACAGTAAAAACCTTTTTTCTCACATCCAACCTAGACTTCCCCTCCTTCAGTTTGAACCCATCCCTCCTTGTCCTGTCACTGCAGCTCCTAACACAGAGTCCCTCTCTGGCCTTATAGCCTCTTCAGATATTGCAAAATTGCCCTGAGGTCTCCACACAACCTTCTCTTCTCCAGGCTGAACAGCCCCAGCTGTAACAGACTTTGTAATCCTGTTGTGTGTTTAGCTGTGTGGTTGTTTCATAGCAGTCCAGAAGAAATAAGTGCCTAAATTTAGTGCAATTTTAGCCCAGAGGAAGGACAGCTATGTCCATCTGGAATCTGATTTTGGCTGAGTCCAGAAGAGACTGAGAAAGAGAAGCTGTTTTATCAGTCACACATATGCTAGTGGTGGCTCAGGATTATTTGACCAGTTGTGCTTTCTCCTCTCTGTTAACTGGGAGAAACTGGAAGTTTAAAACCAAAGGAACATTTTGCACTTACTCCTGACAATCACTGTAGCAAAGGAATAAGCCTCTCCATATTGATTCTTTACTTCCACACTGTATTCAGCAGAATCCTCCATGGAGCATCTGGAAAAAAACCACATTTTCCCTTCTTTTTAGCTTTCACTTATTGTTCATATGTCACAGGTGAAATTCAAAGGGTTTCCCCTTCAACCCCAGAAGTTAAAAGGAGATATTTGCTTTTCATCCAGATTACTTTTCCTTTCAGCTTACAAGAATTTCTGATGCTTCATGGTCTTTTTTTTTTCTCTTGATACCCAGAAGCTAAACATTTCAAGTACTGATCAAGCAAAAGACCTGTGGAACAGTTGATTGCACTGAAATTATGCACATATCCATCATGTGTATAATTCACAGTGGTGAACTAACATTGTTCTGATTACATTGATCCATCCTAAATCACAGGACTTAATGAAGTGCTTAATGTGCATGGCCTTACCCTGAAGGAGAAAATGTTGGTGATGCCTAAAAAGAGGAGCAAAAATAAATTAAGGCTGTAAACTTTGTTTTGTTCTTGTTAAGATTTTTTTAAGCCTTATGAACTGCTGTTGAGCTTGGCAAAGGTTTAGCTCAAACACGACAGATTTAAGTCAGGCAAGGTCAGATTCCAAGAGAATTACCTTGGTTTGTTTATCATACACAAACTGGAAGTTTTGGGAGAGCAGGTCTGAAAGAAACAGCTCAGCCAAGAGCACATATATTACCTGCTGATGTGCAGGGTCAGCATCCCAAACTTGTTTTTTATCTTGTATTTTCCTGCTGGGGCCAAGCGAGGATCAATGGGGACTCCATTCTTGTACCTAGTTGAACACAAGGAAATGTGCTGTTAGGCAATTCCCCATGACAGACACCACAGAACAGAGGAGTAGGCACAATTCCCACTTCAATCCAAAACAGCCTTCCAAAACCTGGATCCCTCCACAGTCTTGTGTGTCCCTTCCCTAGGGCTGCCTATGAAGCTTAGCCTTGGCTTGCTGCTTCCCCCTCAGTTTACTCTCCCTGCTCTGCAGGTCGTGTCAGGATGTTCACAGTTGTCTCTAACTTCTTTGTGCTCACTGGGGATCTGTGGGAGGTTCATATTCTCTTTGCTCTTTGAGTAATTCAAAGAGGTCATTCTGGAAGGACACGGGAGCTCTGACAGTAGCAGAGTGAGCTGCCTACAGAGTCATTAGTAACCCAAATGTTTGCATGCCTGAACCTTCCACGGGAGGAATAGTCAATCACTTTAACAAACTGATCAAAGTACCCTTTGTAAATTGGTTTTCGAGGGGATCTTCCATTTATTTCTGTCCCTCTGGTGTTTATGGTGTGTCCTGCAGTCAGGCCCAGCATGTAACACTCTGGTAAATGTTGGTAAATATGCAAAGTGAGTCAATGAAAGAGTTGGTTTGTAATTTATTAGTTGTAGAAACAACAACAGTTTCATGCTAAAACTGTCCTGGTGTCCAGGCCTTGGTGGTGTGTGTGTGTGTGTGTGTGTGCTGTGGTTTAGTGCTGGCAATAGATCCTGGTTTCCAAGACTTAAATCCAGAGTTTTCTTGCAGGACAGCACCATGAGAAACTGAGAAATCTACCTGAATCTCAGTCCTGTCCTAGCAGGAACCCTGTAGGATTGTTCACTGAGTACTCAATGCCCCAGCTGATCCTAGCAGTGAAACAGGAGAATTGAGAGCGTTTGCCGTGACCTCTGAAGCTCTCCCTTCCTTCTCTCTGTGTTCCTCCCCGAAGCACACACAGCCTGTCACCCACAGACGGCACAGCTCATTGCTGGGGGCTGACATACCACGTCACCCGTGGAGGTGGTGAGCCCAGGATGGTACATGCCAACTTCACATCCATCCTCTCCCAGACGGCGTGCGCTCGGAGCGGGATCCAGAACATGGGCGGTCGCCCCGAGAGCAGCTCAAGGTAAGCCTTCTCCACTCTGGCCTTTTCCACTGCCTGAGACAGGGAGACACTAGCTGAAGGCCATGGAAAGGGACTATGTTCTCACACAAGTTCTCTAACAAAAGGGGTGTGTGATAGGCTTCAGTAGCAGGAGCACAAAATCTTGTGCTTAGTCCTAATGATTCTGAGGTCATCCTAACACCTGCTTAGGTTTAGGATCCTCTCCAGAATGCTGCTTAGGCCTGGAAATCATAATCCTGTTGGCATTTCTGCTACCAATGGAGATGTGTGATCTGACCTTCCTGCGAAGGGCCTTCCTGTCTGCTCTGACACGCATCAGCCTGCAGGTCCGGATCACCTCCTTTTCCAGCTCTTCCATGTCATTCCCAAACCGAGTTCTCTTCTGCCCCCTCTGTTCGAGCTCCAGGATGTCAGCTTCCCTTCTTAGGTTGTAGTCCCTGGAACACAGGATGATACAAACCAACAGCAGTGAGGATAAACAAAATAAATAAAAAGCGTTTTTATTTATTTTGTTTCGGTCTGTTTTGCTGTTGATTTATAGCACATATTTGTGGTTAAATCAGAGTAGGTGTTAAGGGCAGAATCACCAGCTGCATGCAGTGTGGGTGTGACTGTCAGGCATGATTTCTCCCAGGAACCAGCAGCATTCCCATAAGAGAACAGACTGCCATGGCACTAGAAGGAAACCCACTGTTTGACCACTTTTAATCCCAGGCAGAGAGCTGGGAGAAGGGTTAGAGAGAGGAAGGATGTTGCTAACTCCTTAGGTTGTTCAGCCATCATAGAAGGATGGACAGCAGGATCAAGGCCAAGATTTTCTAGGGAAGAGAGGAATTCATCTGTAACCATGAATTCATTAATCCAACTCCTATGAAATCTGGTTCCTCTTAGGCCTTTTTCTGTGAGCTGGGCAATATTCCTCATTAACACAGTGACCAAGTCACTATAATTTCATTTCCTGCATTCTAGTTGAGCTTTGGCATTTTGAAAGGAAGAACCTCTGAGGTGAACCTGCTCTTCTTGCTTCCAGCACATGAAATTGGAAGCTGTGACCCCAATACACAGATGTGATGTTGCCTACAATGGTTGTGTTTGTTATGGGTCCTGACTTACCTTGATTTTTCAGAGGTCAAAGCAAGGGCAGCTGCTATCGATAGGTCTGAAAGGCTGAAAGTCTCTTCTTCCTCACTTCCAGAGGCAAACACATGTAAAAGAATCCAGACAAGGTTCCAGAATCTCATAAACTCAGAATTCAACAGATCTGTGAGTGCTCAGTGCAGGGTAGAAAGACCCAACTGACTCAGCTTGTCCCTGACTCTGGGGCTTACCTGGTTTTGAACTTTTTCTTCCTAGTTGTGGAGGTCATTTGCAAGCTGTGTTTTCTCTCCTCCTTTTGCTCCTCCTCTCTGTGGTGGAAGAATGTTCGGGTTCCCATGCTGGGAAGTCAAAAATGAACTTCCTTGCTGGAACAGAATGAAACATAAAGTGGTTTTCAAGAAAGACACCTCAACAGAATCTCTGTAAGTTATCACTAAGGCTTTGCTTCGATGTTCAGGGGCTGTGAGAAGGTTCATAGATCACTATTTCCTGACATTCAGACTATGAGAGGAGTTTGTTTCCTGGCACCTTTGTGAAAAATGGAATCAGATGAAGAACTGAGAGAGATCAGTTGTTTCCTCTTAACTCTGAGAAACAGAGAAAACAGCCTCCTTCAAAATGTTAGCCTTAAGGGAGTTGTTCAGAACACAGCATGATTTTTCCAAAGAGTGTCCAGAGGAGCTTTCCCAGAGAGATCCCACTCTGGCAGGTGAGACACTGGTGCTCCTGGCTCCCATCCATCCAGCATTAGCTGCTGAAGGACTGGGCTGTGCTGCAGCCTCTGCACTGGCAATACACAGTGTGCTGTTTCCAGGCTCTGACTAATGGATGGGCTTTAAATGAAGCCAATTTTCAAAGGGTTTTCCTCCTCATCTCCCTCTCACTGCAGCTCATTCAATCCCACACAGCACAATCCTTAACCCGTGCCCGTTTACAAGTTCTAAGAGCTTAGGTCTCTTTATCTAAACAGCTTTGCAAATGTGATTGTTGCTGAATAAAAT